GTCAATCACATCATTCTCTAATGATGTGACCCCGTTAATCAAATGGCAACTCATGTCTATGGCTAGGAAACTTAACCATCTTTGATTCAACGAGCTAGTCAAGTAGAGGCATACTAGTGACACTCTGTTTGTCTATGTATTCACACATGTATTATGTTTCCGGTTAATACAATTCTAGCATGAATAATAACTTTATTATTGCCTCTAGGGCATATTTCCTTCAGTTTATTGTTGGGATATCATTATTATATTTTGTCTATTTTAATGCACCTATATACTTGGTAAAGGGTGGAAGGCTCGGCCTTATGCGTGGTGTTTTGTTCCACTCTTGCCGTCCTAGTTTCCGTCATACCGGTGTTATGTTCCTTGATTTTGCGTTCGTTACACAGTTGGGTTATAATGGGAACCCCTTGACAGTTCGTCTTGAATAAAACTCCTCCAGCAAGGCCCAACATCGATTTTACCATTTGCCACCTAGTCTCTTTTCCCTTGGGTTCCGCGGACTCAAGCGTCATCTTTATTTTAAACCCCCGGGCCAGTGCTCCTCTGAGTGTTGGTCCAACCTGTCAGCTGCCGGTGGTCACCAGGGGCAACTCTGGGCTGGCCTACCGGAACCTTGGACAATCCGGTGTGCCCTGAGAACGAGATATGTGCAGCTCCTATCGGGATTTGTCGGCACATTTGGGTGGCTTTGCTGGTTTAATTTTACCATTGTCGAGATGTCTTGTAACCGGGATTCCGAGTCTGATCGGGTTGTCTTGGGAGAAAGAATATCCTTCGTTGACCGTGAGAGCTTGTGATGGGCTAAGTTGGGACACCCCTACAGGGATTTGAACTTTCGAAAGCCGTGCCCGCGGTTATCGGCAGATGGGAATTTGTTAATGTCCGATTGTAGAAAACCTTAACTTAACTTAATTAAAATGAATCAACAGAGTGTGTGGCCGTGATGGTCTCTTTTCGGCGGAGTCCGGAAAGAGAACACGGTCTCGAATTATGCTTGATCGTAGGTTGTTCTAGGATCACTTCTTGATCATAATTTATCGATCGTGACTTTGCCTTCTCTTTTCGCTCTCATTTGCGTATGTTAGCCACCATATCTGCTAGTTGCTTGCTGCAGCTCCACCTCATGCCTTTACCTACCTATAAGCTTAAATAGTCTTGATCGCGAGGGTGTGAGATTGCTGAGTCCCCGTGACTCACAGATTACTTCCAAAATCAGATGCAGGGACCGATGATACCGCTCCAGGAGATTCGACTGAGCTCAAGTGGGAGTTCGATGAGGACTCAGGACGATACTATGTTTTCTTTCCAGACGATCAGTAGTGGTGCCTAGTTGGGGCGATCGGGGACTTTGTCGCATTTGGGGTTATTCTTTATTTTGGTTCCGTAGTCGGACCTTGAGTGTATCTGGATGAATGTAATGTTATTTATGCTATTGTGTCACGTGGCGATTGTAAGCCAACTATGTACCTCTTTTCCATTATGCATTAATGGGCTGTTGCGAAGATTACCTCACTTGCGACATTGCTTACAATGCGGTTATGGCTCTAAGTCGTGCTTCGACACGTGGGAGATATAGCCGCATCGTGGGCGTTACACAACTACTCCCGTAATTAAGCCTCACATCATCACACAAAATCCCCTCTTCTCCGTCAAATGCTTTTTGTCAAGTGTTCTATCGATGACTGTAAAATTATGAATAACTTGTGTATTTTTTATCTACCCGTTGGGTACCCAATGGTTATGGGTACTCATCGGGTATGTGTACGGGTAAAGTTTCATACCCATGGGTACGGGTATGGGTAGATTTTTGTATCCATTGGCTACACGGGCATGGGTATGGCATTGCTTTACCCGTCCCATAGCCTACCCATTGCCATCCTTAATATTCTTCCTAGTGCTTTACACTACACCCTTAACATTGCGGCTTTACTGCTTTTTCGATTGCTTGAAAAATAATCCACTCCTACAGTATTTGGTGTTATTATTGTGCAGAATTGGACATGTAATCCCTACTAACGAAGCCAACTGAGACTTGCAAAACCTTGACAAGAACCGATTTTTTATGCACTGCGAGATTGTAATCCCGTTAACAGATAAGACATGAATTTGCTGTGTAGGTGTTATTACATCGCATCATCTGGATGCATGTATGTTTCTCTCATCTAATGGCATCAACTAATGAAAGCTAACCCGCTTTATTTCGACATGTCATATTGTTTTATAAACATGAAAGAACTTTTGTTGGCAAATCTAATAGAAGAGGAGGCAAGTGCAAATCTTTTTGAATGAGGACACACCAACATCTGGATCTTGTGCACTTTTGAGTTGCCCTGATATCCATTTTCGTTACAAATTCGATACACGCCGTATACAGATGCATTGACAAAGAAAAACCCTTTTCCTCGAATCACTTATATGCAGCAGTTTATGGAAAATTGAATCTCTTAGTATTGCCTTTTGTCTCCGACACGATGTTATTCACAATGAAACAGAACAACCAATGCATCTTCCCAACATGTCTGCCCTCACAATTGACCGAGCCCAACCATTTACACAGCCCGCCATCCCTTTTCCTATGCCACAACCGAACGAGTCCAGCCATAATGGACGATTTTTTTAATGCAGATCATGACTCTCTGGTTTGGCAATTACTACTTTAGTGGTCTAAACTGTTTTATATTAGTTTACAGAGGGATCAAAAAACAAGGGGCAGTACTCCAACAACTCCTTGTACCATGTGATTAGCTTCAGAGGAGTTCAACTAGTTTTTGTCTCTATTGTGTAGAACCTTAAAGTTCCTTTAAAAACCCATGTCTTCCTTTGGTTGTTCCCCCATAATAAGCTAATGACTAGGGACAATCTTAGGAAGAGACAGATAATCAAACCACTAGATTGTGTTTTTTTCATAGAAGATGAATCTGTCTCTCATATGTTTTTTGGTTGTGTGGTTGCCACGAATATTTGGTCGTTTATTGGATATTACTTTGAACTCACTATTGGAAGTGAGTTTGAATCTATATCTATATTTTGGACTAGAAATAATAAGAACATAGCTTTGAATACTATTAGTTCTGCTACAATTTGGTGCTTGTGAGAATATAGGAACTCTATGATTTTTTACAACGCCAAATGGATCTTTGTTACACATATTTGGAGACTGATCTTAAGAACCATCAGGTTCTGGGCGGTCCTATCTCCAAAACAAAGCAGAGTGAGGTTGATGGACTTTTGAGAAATCCCGACAAGTTTTATCTGGCAACCTCTGATAATCTTGGGTGGCTGAGTATGTCACCTCATATTACACTGGATCCTCACCCCTTGGTGACCCTTGGAGCAAGTTCAAGATCTCTGACGAGGCCGCCAACTTCATGTTGCCAATCAAGAAGAGAAGCGCTGGGAGCAAGTCCACCATAAACCAGTCCAGTGTCTACCCATGCCGTGTGTTGGTCTCCTCAGGCGGCATCTGCGCCACCCTTGAAGACCAAAATGTCGTATCGTGAGATCATTTATGACGTCACATGAAAGTTGCTTGTCTATCTTTAACTCTCACGCTGCCTTTTATGCTTGTAGATTTCATAACCGTCTTTTATAGATGGAGTCATTTTATCTCTTAAACTGTTCTTCTGTGTGAGTTGTTGTATAACATGTTGGGTTTCATTTGAGTAATGAAGAGAGCCCTCCCTATGATTATAAAAAGATATGGACGAAAAATGTGTGGAGGACGTTTTGGCTCCTGGGTGCATTTGCTCTTGTATGAACAGTATTTTTTTTAAAATAATTTAAAAATTATAGTTTTTTTAAATGTTCGTATTAGTGTCGCAAGCATAATTGATAATTTCTATGCGAAACGGACCAGCGTTTTCATCGGTGAAACAACAAAATAGGGTGTAACATCTGATGTTTATTTTTTTGCGCAGGTCAAAATGCTTACCATTTTTATCTAAAAATTTGCAGGTAACATTTGAATGTGACCATGAACACATCATATTTTAGTTGAGATTTGTTGACATTTCGGAAAATTATTTTTCGCACGTGGGAGCCGATTTTTTTTTTGAGGGAAAGCCTTCTGGCAATTTATTAATCTTCAAATAAGTTTACATCATTTGCCAAAGCATCTAAAATGAAACTAGGCGGATCCACAAACCACGAAGTGGTAAGAGGTCCCTCCGCTTGACTAGCTAGCAAATGAGCTACCTTATTACTTTCCCTAAGACAATGAACAAAAGAAATACTAGAGAAATTCCTTGCTAAAAAACTACACTCCTCATAGATAGCAGCTGCAGCACCAATCGAATTGCCATCCTCCTGCATAGTCTGAATTACTTTCAGGCAGTCTGAATTAACAATGATGTTATTGCATCCTGAGTTGCTTGCTAGGATCAATCCGTCCCGGATAGAGCGAGCTTCAGCTGTAGGTGCATCAGCTACGTAACTGATAGCACAAGCACTCGCCGATAAGAATCTGCCTTGATCATCGCATCAACAGAGAACGCCGCATCGACATTCAGCTTTGCAAATCCAACTCCAGGTTGTTTCCAGCCGTGTCTTCGAATCTTAGCTGCTGGTTTTGCTGCTCTCGCATAATGCTGAGTCTTGCGAGTCGATAGGTCCGGGGGGCTAGCGGCCGTGGAGCACTCCCGAACGGACCTGGCCATCTGGGCCAGCACGGCCCGACCCACGCTTAACCACCGTGGCTGGCACGAAACAGCCCACGACGGCACGTGACGTGCCGGTCACGCGTGCTACTGGGCCGGCTCTCCTCACATGGCAGTTCCCCGAACCCCCCCGGCCGAATCCTAAACCCTAGAAGCTCCACAGCGCCTCCGCCCCGCCGCTCCTTCGCCGTCGCCGTCGCCTGCGCCCCGCCTCGCGCTCGCCCTCGCCTGCGCCCCGCCGCGCACTCGCCCTCGCCCTCGCCTGCGCGCCGCCGCGCACTCGCCCTCGCCCTCGCCTGCGCTCCGCCGCTCACCTGCGGGTGCCCCCAAACTCCGTGGAAGATGGCGCTGGCAATCTCGATGGAAGCCATAGATGCGCGCGCGCGGGAGCTGGGGATCGACCTCGACTCCGTCGACGTCGACTCCATCGCCCTTCCGCCCGGCGAGGACTTCGACATCCTCCGGTATCATCCATCATCTTCCCTTCCCAGCCCCGCCACCTCCTTTCCGCAAGCGGTCAAAGTAGGCAGGAGTCGCATATATTTGTTGATTTTGTTATTCATGTTGCCGTTCGATCACGATTTGCAGCGACGACGAGGATTTGCTTCAGGATGAAGACATTCCGGAGCTCGAGATGGGTTTTGCAAACATTATTGTGGTGGACAATCTGCCGGTCGTTCCCCCGGAGAAGTACGAGAAGCTGGAGAATGTTTTGCGCAAGATATACGGTCAGCTTGGTGTGATCAAGGAAGGTGGGCTTTGGATGCCCACGGACCCAGAGACCAAGAAGACCCAGGGCTACTGCTTCATTGAGTTTAATACTCCGCAGGTATGTTGCTTCTTGTAAGTTAGGTTTATTCATACATACATATCTGCATGATGGAATGAGGCAATGGCTTGATTCTGTTACCTTTGCAAGTCATGTGCATTCCTACAATGAGAAAGGTCATCCCTATTCCATTTGAACTCTCAATCCTGATTAACTTTTGTACGTGGATCGGAAGAAGATAATCAACTGAGTGGAAACATGCATGGAAACACCTTTGTTTTGTTAGAGTTTGTTCCATTGCTTAATTGTTGGGATTTTTCTGTAGCAAGACGATTGTTCGAAGCAAGACTTTGTGCTTTTAGTTTTACTGGATTATTGCTAGTATATGTGATAGTGTTCTATTGTTGTGACCAAATTTAATTAAATGCCTATCCGAAATTAACTCCACTTTTGCTTTCATAAATTGTTTTGCATTCTGTGACTGGAATTATCATGACCCTCTTGGTTGATTGAAAGAGGATTATTTGACAATGTGCCAGGAAGCTGAGTTTGCTATGGAAAAAACACGTGGCTACAAACTGGACAAATCTCACATATTTGCTGTTAATATGTTTGATGACTTCGAGAAGTACATGAAAGTTCCTGATGAGTGGGCGCCTGCTGAAATCAAGCCATACACTCCTGGAGTGCGTATTCTCTACCCCCCACCACCATACACAGACTTGTTTGTTTCTTTACATTACTAGAGGTTTTATGTAACTTGACTGTTATATGTGTGTGTGTTGCAGGAAAATCTTCTCAAGTGGCTAACTGATGATAAGGCCAGAGATCAGTTTGTGATCCGTGCTGGTACGTTCACGGAAGTGTACTGGAATGACGCTAGACGGGCAATGCCTGAGCTTGTGTACCAAAAGCAGGTGCTTCATTTTTTTATTTACCTTTTGCTTTTAGTTTTCTTGGAAAATGGAAACTGAAGGTCATGGCTATATCCTATAAGGAGAACTAATTTTCATGAATATCCTGTATCCTTCTTCTTTGACAGTACTGGACGGATAGCTATATTCAATGGTCCCCTCTTGGAACACACTTGGCGACCGTGCATAGGCAGGGCGCGCAGGTGTGGGGTGGTGATGATAAGTTTGTTCGTCTAATGCGCTTTCTTCATCCACAGGTACTGGTTTGTGCTAACAGTAAATATATGCAATACACAATGTCCTTTTAGCTGACAGCTACCTGTCACAGTTGAAACTCATCGATTTCTCTCCCGGTGAGAAATATTTGATCACTTACAGCAGCCATGAGCCCAGCAACCCCATAGACACACATGTAAGTGAATGTTACAAGACTTCTTTCTGTTCATATATTGTCTCCTATCTGACTTGCAAATGTTATACTTGTAGAGGGTTGTACTAAATATCTTTGATGTACGGACTGGAAAAGTAATGCGGGAGTTCAAGGGAAGTGCTGATGATTTCACTACTGGTGGAAATATGGGTGTGTCTGGTGTTTCATGGCCTATCTTCAGGTGAACCCACTACTTCTGTGCTTCGAAGTGAATGCACATCTTATGAGGTTGTCATGGTTTGATGCTTAGGATGTTTTTATTTATGTTTTTTTTTTTGAAGGTGGGGTGGTGGAAGAGATGATAAGTATTTTGCTAGGCTTGGAAAGAATGTTATATCTGTCTATGATACTGAGACGTTCGCTCTTATTGATAAGAAGTCCTTGAAGGTAGAAAATGTGGTTGACTTCAGTTGGTCTCCCACTGATCCTATCATATCACTCTTTGTGCCTGAATTGGGTGGTGGAAATCAGCCTGCCAGGGTAAGTACAAATTGCTACTGCTACCTCTTTTAAGATGTTTATCCAGTTAGCATCAAATGCTAAAATATGTGTTTTGTGTTGAAAGGTGAGTCTTGTGCAAATTCCGGGCAAAGAGGAGATTCGGCAGAAAAACCTTTTCAGTGTGAGCGACTGCAAAATGTACTGGCAAAACAATGGAGAGTATCTGGCTGTCCAGGTAGACAGGTACACAAAAACAAAGAAGAGCATTTACACTGGGTTCGAGCTGTTCAGAATCAAGGAACGAGACATCCCAATTGAGGTCTTTGAATTGGACAACAAGAATGACAAGATAATTGCCTTTGCATGGGAGCCTAAAGGTCACCGCTTTGCTGTTATTCATGGTGATGGGCCTAAGCCTGATATAAGTTTCTACACCATGAAAGCAGTCAACAATAATGTTAGTCGTGTGTCCAAGCTCACCACACTCAAGGGCAAGCAGGCCAATTCATTGTTCTGGTCTCCTGCTGGGCGTTTCATTGTTCTGGCAGGGCTGAGGGGTTTCAATGGCCAGCTGGAGTTCTTCAACGTTGATGATCTTGAGACCATGGCGACAGGAGAACATTTTATGGCGACTGACATCATGTGGGATCCTACTGGAAGGTGAGCCTATCACTTAATTGAAAATTTTCTTCTTGTCGCTATCTGGTGATATTTACAAAACAAATGTTAAAGCAATAATAAACATACACTGAATAGGTTACAGGAATTATCACACCCTGAACACTACGAACGTAGATGCTCAGCTGAAATTTTTAATTGTCTTCACCTGTTAAAACAACACTCACCCTCAAATTGCATGGACTTAGTAGTTGAAATTAACAAATACTCCCTCCCTCCCAAAATTCTTGTCTTAGATTTTTTCTAAATACGGATGTATCTAGTTACGTTTTAGTGTTAGATACATCCGTATCTAGATAAATCTAAGACAAGAATTTTGGGATTGAGGGAGTAGTAGTTTGGTTTACCACAGATGAACTAAGATGGTTTTGGAACTTGCTTGTTCAGGTATCTCGCAACTGCAGTTACCTCGGTTCATGAGATGGAAAATGGTTTCCAAATCTGGTCCTTCAATGGCAAGCAAATTTACAAGGTTTTAAAGGATCAATTCTATCAGGTATAGCTTCCATTCCATCCATCCCTCGTTTGTTGTTTGAGTCTATGCATTGCTGTATCTATCCTTCTGTAGTAATGTTTTTGCCCTTTGCATGATGATGGTACAGTTCCAATGGCGCCCAAGGCCACCGTCGCTACTTACTCCGGAGAAGGAGGAGGACACCACAAAGAACCTCAAGCGGTACAGCAAGAAGTACGAACAAGAGGATCAGGACGTGCACCACCTTTTGGACGAGGAGGAGCGCAAGAGACGGATGCGGCTTCAAGAGGTGTGGGAAGCATGGGTCGCCAAGTGGAAGCAGCTGCACGAGGAGGAGCGAGCATTCAGGATGCAGCTTAGGGGCGGGGAGGACAGCGACAAGGAAGAAGAGGCGGAATACAAGGAGATTGAGGCGGAGGAGCTGGTTGATGTCACAGAAGAAACCGTTGCCTTTGACCTGGACCAGGAGTGAAAGGCTGCTCAGTGTTAGTGTCCTGCCTGTCGTGTGAATTGCTGTCGTTTTGCATGATAGGTTCTTTAGATCAAGCACATAGTTTGTTGATCTTTCTAGTAATGCACTTTTAATAAATTCATCGATCATGTTTATGGAGATCGATTTTTGTGTTTGGAATGCTGGTCATCATAATCTCTTTTTGCAAATGTGGTTACATTTTCGTGGGCTAGCTGTACTGGAATCACTTCTCTATTATCGTCGGATTTTGCACATCAGACCGACAGGAAGAGATGAAAATAATCTACTCCCTTTGTTACTAAATGTATGACGTTATGGGAGTTCAAATTGACCAAAATGAGCAACCAAGCACCCCAATGTTTGAATCATAACACAATGTTGAAATGCTAATTTAATCCTTGAACCAATTAAATACAACAGCATTTTTAGATACAATATCTAGAGACAATGTATTATTGTGGTTTCTAACTAAAGAAAATAATGTATTGCGCTTGTCTTTAAAAATCTTCCACTACTCCCAACGGACTCGGTCCCTAAGTTTTAGTTTTTGATGATTTGACTAGTGAAATATGTGTTGTACTTCAAATTTTAATTTGACAAACTAAAATACCATGCCCGTTAAAGATTAAATGCATTGAAAACATTCTGAAGGCATCTTAAATGTGGATCACCAAACATCACCAACTGTCCGCGGACAGCCGGCGTGGGCGGAGGCCCGCCAACCATGAGCATCAAATTTCCAACCCATTTGAAACGAACCAAACAAAGACAGCTAAACAGATGAAATTTAATGAAGTTTGAAATATTTACAGCCAAACGGATGAAGTTTAACAAGTTAAACTGAAACTAAAAGCTAACTAAACTAGGCCAGGTATTTGCAAAAAGAAACTAGTCCGGTTACCGGAGAGTGACTTCCTAGGCATGGCCACCAACATATCCATCGTCATCCGCGCCAGTTGTTGTTATCGCTGTTGCGCCAGTGGCAAAAGGCCTACTAGGCGTTGAAGTATCCTTGCCCGGCCACCGCCGCACGCTCGTGGTGTAGATGCTCTGTCACATCCTCCACTCCTTTTGTGTCGCTTGTCTTCGGCGACTCGGATGAAGAGACGTGGTCGGACTCCGCTGGACCCACCTTTGAGGAGCTGGTCATTGAGCCGATGTCAATGGCGGGCGTCCAACTACTCGGTGGTTTTGGACCGGTCGATGGCCTAAGCCTTCGCGAGCACCATGCAAGCGCCGCCTGGTTCTTTTTTTTTCTGAGAATTTTTTCATTCATATCACGAATCAGTACAAAGAAGTTGACTCTTACAAGCACACTGAAACGAAAACACAAAGGACCATGAACACCTAGAGTAACCTAAGACAACCATACCACAAGAAGATCTCCGGAACCCTGTGTCATCATCCCCGAATCTTGAGAGAAGACTCATGCAGCAGAAGGATTCTTGACGACGCCCCATGCGCGCCTTTGCCACGGCTTTGGACTTGGACGAGGAGGCGCTCCTGGAGGTTCTAGACGGAGGTTCTAGAGCCGGACGGCTGAAGAGGGTTTTTGGGATGGGCCTGAGGTGTCGACGTGTGACGTGGTAGATGTTCGGGCCCTGTCGGATCTCTCCTCAATTCCGGGTTAGGCTGGGGGTGTTTTGGATGCGTGGACCAGTCGGATCGAATTTGGTGCCGTGTGTTGGAGGCCTAACGGTCAGAATATTTGCGGTCGATTTGATGATCACCATTGAAGATGCCTAGCTCTTAATTACTTGCAATTAGACGGTCTAAATATTTGCTGACGTTTTGGTGAGAAGATGCCTAACACTTGATTACTTTTGATTAGTCTAACCAGTTGACACGACAGGGTTCCACTCAAAGGCCAACAAACAACCCACAACCCGATTACGAGAGGCGACGCAGCATCCCACGAGACAAACCTGGCCGCCGCAAGAAGGGAGCCACGCATCGCCGTGGAACGCCACTCGCCGCAGGGGAAGACCCCCACCCACCAAGACGAAGACAGGGGAAAAGTTGGAAAGCAACCAGCAGCCCTGTTCCTCCCTCCCTCCCTCCCTCCCGTTGCTCATAAAACCCTAACGCAGTGGCGCGCACCAGCCGCCCATGCCCTTTCAGTTGCATCTCCTCCCGTCCCGCATTGGCCTCTTCTCGTCGATCTCCGCCATGTCCAGCTCGCGGCGCGCCTCCAGGCTCACCCGCGCATCCCGCCCGGAGCTCAGCCCAGCTGAAAGTTCGCCTCTTTCCCCCCCTTTTGAATTCAGTTCCGTGCTTGTGTATTTCCTTGCCCCATTTGCTGCTAGTATTATGGAAATACTTGTACATTTAGTTGGTTATTTCTTGAAATGCTAGTACTAAAGTTGGAAGCAACCCCACCCGCCCAAAACAATTTTTTCTTATTACTAAAAGCTTAGTGGCCGGAATTGTTCATCTCACTTGACAAATTGTGTGAAATCAGCGAGTGTGCTCTCTTGAAGATCTGGTGATATCCCCGTGGGTCATACACTTTTAGTAATCATGTGCTTGTTTGTTGAATGTAAGGTTCCCTAAAAAAGAATGCAGGGAAGACATTGCGTAGATGAGTTATTTCTGTATTTTTCATGTTGCCTCAACCTTTTAATTTCAAGACATAAGTACGATCCAAAATATGCTAGAAAGATGCCATATACACTTTTAATTCGTGTGAAATATGTTTGCAAAGTCGCAAAGTTTCAGTCCTTTCTCCCCTGGCGCGGCTTTTTCTTGAAATGCTACAAAAGATGGAGGCAACCCCACCCGGATACCATTTTATTTTCTTATCACTAAAAGCTGGTGATGTTCTTATGCATCATAGTCTTTTAGTTATCATGTGCTTATTTGTCGAATGTAAGGAAAACAATTTTTCAGATGAGTTGTCTCACTTATTTATGTATGTTCATCTTGCCTCAAGGCTGAAGCTTTAATTGCAACGCATAAACACTATCCAAAATTGATTATTTTCTTCTTTCGTAAATGCAAGAAGTTTGCTTGTCATTTATATCTTCTTAATTGACAAGAAGAAAAGCTCAAGTATGATCACTAACATTTTTTCAGCCTAACTACACATCAATTCACTTCAACCACGACTCACTACTTCCGAAGTTTGTTTCCGAAGTTTGTTTAGTATCATTATTCGTTTTCTATCAAGTATGAATTGATGCATTTTCCAGGTGCAAGGGAAGTGAAGCGTGAACCCGGTGTTTCTTTTGACTACTCCAAGTCTGAAATGAATTCCGTCAAGAGGAAAAGGCTGAACCGTGTGCTTGAAGTAAAGGAGGAGCTTCCTAAGAAGCAGGTATCTGCTGACTAACTATAATAACGTTTTTCTTCATATTAAAAAGGAAGCGTTGTGCATCTTTCAATTTCTTTCTGGACTTCTCAAATCCTTGGTTTAAATTACTGTCCGCTTGAGTGTTCAATTATTCTGAGATTGTAATTGCACAACTGCAGTTTAAACCTTTCAGTGCATTTGTGCATTCGTGTTGCCAGTTTAGCAGCGCTTCCTTTTCTACTATTGGTTTTTGGTCCAATTCATGTCCCACTAAGAAAATATTTCAACATATGCAGGTTGGTATTGTTCCTGACATCGAAGATTTTCGATATGTGAAGACCGGGGCAAAAATGTCAGTAACTGCAAAGAGGGTACCAGCATCATCAAATAAGAACAGTTCACCAGGTAATTTTCGATGTTTCCTCTAAATGGTTTGATCGATAATCATAGTTCGTCAATCAATTGCTCTACATGTACCATGTGCTTATATTTTGCATTGCTTAAGGACTATTACGAATGCTAAAAGTCTATCATAGTTCGTCAATAAATTGCTCTACATGTACCAGCGCTTATATTTTGGCATTGCTTAAGGACCATTATGAATGTTAAGAGTCAGTTGTTGCATGTTTGTGTTTGTTTCTTCAAGCATGGCTTGTACATTATTCTGTGCAGTAACCCTCCGTAAGGAAAACATTTTTTAGATGAGTTATCTCAGTTATTTCTGTATGTTCATGTTGCCTGAACCTTTTAATTTCAAGACATAAGTATGATCCAAAATATTTTATTTTTTCCTTTCATAAATAAGATCACTAAAATTTTGTTACGCATCGATTCACTTCAGCTACGACTCGATACTTTCCATTCAGTCATATCTATGACTGTTAAAATCCGCATTCTTGTTTATAGTGTGTTTACTATTACTCGTTTTGTCTAAAGCATGACTGGTGCCTTTTCAGGTGTAAAGGAAGTGAAGTGTGAACCCAGTGTTTCTTTTGACTACTCCAAGTCTGAAATGAATTCCGTGGAGAGGAAAAGGCTGAACCGTGTGCTTGAAGTAAATGACGAGCATCCTAAGCAGGTATATGCTGACTAACTATAATAATGTTTCTCTTCATATTAAAAATGAAGCGTTGCGCATCACTAATTCTTCTTCCTGGACTTGGTTTAAATTACTGTGCGCTTGCGTGTTCGGTTATGCTGAGATGTTATTGTACAGCTGCACTTTAACCCTTTCAGTGCATTCGTGCTCTCAGTTTAGCAGTGCTCCCTTTTCTACTATTGGTTTTTCGGTCCAATTCAGGTCCCACTGAAGAAAATATTTACACATATGCAGGTTGGTGCTGTTCCTGACATTGATGATTTTCGATATGTAAAGACCGAGGCAAAAACAGCAGTATCTACAAAGAGGGTACCAGCATCATCAAATAAGAACAGTTCACCAGGTAAGTTTCGATGTTTCATCTAAATGGTTTGATCCATAATCATAGTTCGTCAATCAATTGCTCCACATGTACCATGTGCTTATATTTTGCATTGCTTAAGGACTATTATGAATGTTAAGAGTCAATTGTTGCATGTTTGTGTTTGTTTCTTCAAGCGTGGCTTGTTATCATTATTCTGTGCAGTAACCCCCCTTTTGGGTTTCTTGCATATGGTTAATCTTGTTGTAAATCTGCATGTGTCATTTTACTGTAGGTGTAAATTTTGC